TCGCTCTTGTTACTCAGGCTGGAGTGCAATGGCGCAATCTCGGCTCACCACAACCTCTGCCTCCCAGGTTCAGGCAATTCTCCTTCCTCAGCCTCCTGAGTAGCTCTGACTACAGGCATGTGCCACCATGCCCAGCTACTTTTTTGTATTTTTAGTAGAGACAGGGTTTCACCATGTTGACCAGGATGATCTCGATCTCTTGACCTCGTGATCCACCTGCCTCGGCCTCCGAAAGTGCTGGGATTACAGGCTTGAGCCACCACGCCCGGCCTAATTTTTGTATTTTTATTAGAGACGGAGTTTCACCCTATTGGCCAGGATGGTCTCAGTCTCCTGACCTCGTGATCTGCCCGCCTCAGCCTTCCAAAGTGCTGGGATTACAAGTGTGAGCCACCGAGCCTGACCTGGATATGCTATCTTTTATTGCTTATATCTATGTAGATAATTTTTTCCCTAGAAATTTGTCATTTCATGTAAAATTTCAAACATACTGATATAAAGTTGTTTATAATAGTCCCTTATGACCTTTCTTTTATTTTGAAATAATATCAAACTTAGATATACAGCAAATAACTTTTCCTAAATTACCCAAGAACAAGCTCAGCCATGATGTTCTGCTACCCAAAATACATTACTGCAATCCAGTTTGGAGACTCTATTTATTTTTTAAAAACAGCTTTCTAGAAGTATAAATGACATACAGAAATACTGTACATATTTAAAATATATGATTTGAAAAATTAACATGCATTTACCTATAAAATCAGAGCTATGATGAAAATAGTGAACATGTTTATTAATCATAAAGTGTCTATGCCCCTCTCTCCAGTTTGAGTTAATTTTTTAATATGATTTTAGATGTGGATTCAAGGTCATTTTTTGTATATGGATATTGTTTTGTAACCATTTTTTAAAAGGTTATCCTTTCTCTGGTTCCCTTTGAACTTGTGTCAAAAAAACAGATGTCCATATCTACGTACTTTTATTTCTAGACTTTTAATTCTGTCTCATTGATCTATGTATTTTTATACCAGTACCATACTGTTTTATTGCAGCTTTGTAAGTCTTGAAATTAGGGAGTGTTAGCCCTCCAACTTGTTCTTTTTCAAAGTTGTTTTTGCTATTCTTGGTCCTTTGCATTTCCATATGAATTTTTGAATCAGCTTGTCAGTTTCTATACACACACACACTCACACATAATCTACTGGCAGTTTGATTGAGATTGTTTTGAAGCTAAAGATCAATTTTGGAAGAATTGACATCCAAACAATATTGAGTCTTCTGAACCGTGAAACAAGATATCTCTCTTCATTTATTTAGGGCTTTCAATTTCTTATAACCATGTTTTTGTGATTTTTAATATCAGATCTTTACATCTTTTGTTCCTGAAATCTCTAAGTACCTCATATTCTGAAATTTCAGTTTCTGATAATTCATTGGTAGTATATAGAAATGGAGTTAATGTTTGTATATTGGTCTTGTGTTTTTCAGTCTTGCTAAACTCACTTGCTTGTTCTAGTTGTTTTTGTATAGATTTAATATTAGGATGGCTCTAACGTAGACTTTTTCCAGGTCTAGATTAGCTCTGCTCCTAAAGCATTACTTTTCTGTAATGTCTATCAAATGTCTTGTGTATTCAACAAAGTTTCTTCATTCTGGATGGTTGAAATCAAAACATCCCCCACCCTTGTAAGAGCTTTGGTAGTGCTTCTTTAGTTAATTTTGTAGAAACTCTGGGGCCTTCATAGACATTTCTTTCTCTGTGTATTTTCTTCAATTTCCAGCTGCCACTACTTCCCCAGATTCTGATCTCTGTTCCATGAGATCACTGTGCTTTGAGGTTCTCCTCTCTGTCTCACAGTTGAGAAAACACCTCCACAAAAACAAGTGATCCTGGGGCTGGCTTGTTTCTGTTTCCTCAGGGGTTACAGTCCTTGATGCCTGTTGTCTGTCTAAAAATAGTTGCTTAATATATTTTGTCCAGTTTAACAGCTGTTTATGGTGGCAGGATTTGTCCAGTGACAAATACGGTTTTAGTCAAATATGGTTTTTAGCATATTGTAGTCAAATATGGTTTTTAACTCAATCATATTGTTTTTAACTCCGTAGTTCAGTTAAATCTCAACCATCATGTTGTGAGTTCACTGGAAGAGTCAAGGCAAATAATGATGTATAACATGATCTTGTATATATTAATTTTATGAAATATTTTTATAAAGTTAATTTCAAATGAATGCTGTCGTACTGACGGCTTATTAATTTACTAAACAAAAAGTAATTACCCATGTCCTGTGACACTTGTATTTCTTTTACCAAATATATTAATTTTACCTAGTTACTTGATATACTTACTATGGACATTTTATTCTATGTTTCTTTTTAAATACTTTGGAAGTAGAGTCTTTATACTTATGTCATAAGAACAATTATTATTTTGATTGGACTTATATCATGTTTTAGATATAGCCAGTTTGTATGACATACTCATGTACCACAAGCTTAGATTTTATTATAAGACAACTTGCTATGTAGTCTGCCTAGTGATTCAAACATCAGATGGATGATTGGCCTAGGTGACTTTTAAATGCCCTTCAGCCGTGAGATTCTATTATTCTTCAGCAAATTAAATTCAGCAGATGTCTTGAGTGCCATTTTAATAGGGTAAGTTATCTAAGAAAAATTATTTTTGCCTTTGAGAAGCTTAGAATTTCATTGGTAAGATAATACCTACGTGTGTGTGTGTGTGTGTGTAGAAACAGAATATGTAGAAAGAAGAGAGAATATGTGTAGAAAGATAATAGTTAAAATTGCGTATGATTAATTACAGAGTGAACAACACAAACCATAAATGCTTGACATGTTCAGTCAGAGAAAGAGACAATATGGCAAAAGTAGAAAAAAAAGAACACATCTTGTCTTGTGTGTGGTGATATCAGCAAAAGAGGGGCACCGAAACAGCACAAAGGAGTACACATTTGCAAGAATGTCAGTAAAGAAAACAGCTTAGTAGAAGTAGAAAGCTGTTTGCCTTGTTTTAAAAATGTGTAGCTAAGTTGTGAACATTGCAATTTTATCAACAGTGGCATTTCTTTCAGCAAGTGCCAGCCTGGTGACAGCATTGGCTGTCTAGATCTGGAAATCTTACATTTGTATAACTAAGGTACCACTGGTAATAATGTCTTAATGTTGCTATAGACTAAATTTTTTTCATAGAAAAATCCTCATCTGTATCATCAGATAATCTGAGAAACAGTATGAACATATCCGCCATCTGAAGTCTGCCTTTTTGGAGCTGCTAGGTGCTAGAGAAATTCTTTTGAGTTTTATAGCTCTTCTGTATCTGTCTCAGTCTTAGTAGATTCTGGTCTATTGTTTGTGGTTAGCTTTTAAGGGTCAAGGTCATACTGAGGTTAAAACTGTCTTGCTGGGTTGATATTAAATCTGCACATAGTGTTCCATGCTGACTTTTAATTCTGGTATTGGAACGGTAATTCAAAGCACACTAGTTTTTATTTAATATTGTTCAAATAAAATTAAATTTAGTACGCATATACCAGAATAAAAAGTTTAGATAAATTTTCTACAAAATAGAAAAAGCACTGAAATGTCTTTCCATTGACTGAGCTAAACAGATTATATAATATTTCTGTGATTTAGTTTATTACTAAATAGGAAATATGTATGAAGACATCTTTGACTATGAAAATTCTAAATTTCAGTGTATCATAGGTTTCAGTTTTTAAAATTATAGAACTGAACTTTTTGTCTTTTTTTTTTTTTTTTTTTTAATATGGAACACGGTCGGGTGTGGTGACTCATGCCTGTACTTCAGCACTTTGGGAGGCTGAGGCAGGAGGATCACCTGAGATGAGGAGTTGGAGACCAGCCTGGCCAACGTGGTGAAACCTAGTCTCCTAAAAAATACAAAAAGTAGCTGGGTGTGTTGTTGCACGCCTGTAATCCCAGTTACTTGGGAGGCTAACGCATGAGAATCGCTTGAACCCAGGAGGCAGAGGTTGCAGTGAGCTGAGATTGCACCACTGAACTCCAGTCTGGGCAACAGATCGAGACCTATCTCAAAAAATAAGTAAATAGATAAACAAAAATGAAATATGGAGTACTTTACTGATTTGTATGTCATCCTTGCTCAGGGGACATGCTAGAACTCTACTTTAATATTGCATCATTTTGTTTAAAGCAGTACCAAACAAAAGCTGAAAACATGACTAACAGATATTAAAAGCTTTATGTGTATGTCTTAATTCATATTTTAAAAAATCATTGTTTAAAAAAATGCTTGTTTAGTAAGCATGCTAAAATCCTTGCTTATGTATGTGGTTTTTTTTTTTCACTGACTTATTTTTGAGGCTGACTGGGAGTGTTCATGAAAAACGAGAGAAATTCCAACAACAGAGAAAGGGGAAGGAGGAGGGGGACAGATAAATGCAGTTTTACTTGGCAGAGTTGAATGTTGAATGTGTAAAATTTATGCCATAAAACAGATTTGAAATCTTATCAGGTAAAACTTAATATGTAGATAATACTTGATAATGTTGAGTACCATATTGAGTTGTTTACAACATTTGGTTTCTAGAGAAACTTAGAAAAGAACTTATGGGGATTATTTTGCTGCCTGTATTCTGATCATTATTGATCACAACAGGATCATTTCTGTAGCTAATGGGGGATTTTCCTCAGATCTTCTTAAGGCCATAGTCAGAACCAACTGAATATGTATAGGATGATTGCATTATTTTTACTGGGAAAAAAAATGGAAGCAAAGGAAGTTGTTTTAATAAAGAATATAAGACTCTCTCCCCCTTTTATCTCATTAATGTATATTTTATTCTTTTACAAAGAATTTGGATTATAGAACATGTACTGTAATACATGCTTTGTTGGAAGAATTTTTAAATGAGTTTTCAGGGCTGTTGGTGCTGTGAAGATAGTACATGTACTTCTGTGGTTGTTTTAGTGTCTTTTTTGTTGATTTTTGACAGATAAAATAACACAAGAAGATATTGAAGGCATTCTACAGAAATTTACTGGGAATATAATGCAAGTGCCCCCCCTGTAAGTTCAATTAGTAAATTTGGATAAATATTTACTTTTCTTTTCCAGTGGTTAACATCACTCTAATTAAAATACATGGGCTTCCTCTTGCCATATGGCAAGGCAGGTTTTAAATCTGGTGTGGCAAATGTTCAAGTAAAGGTAAGACAGGATGTGGAGCTTTTGACACTCTCTAAGAGGCAGTGAAATGTGGTCTCCTTTGTTTCTGGGGGTGGCCACAGCCTGGCATCTGTGCTATTACAGTGTTTATTGGCTTTTCTGTTTCTGTCAACAGACATCAGGGCAGCTCTGGAGCCCAGAGATGTCCCTTTTCCTAGAACTGTTGTGAAGGGACCAGTCCAGTCTGGGAGGGAGTCCTAATGTGCAGTGCCTATCAGGTGCTGGGACCATTCCTATTGGACAGAATCTCTGCCTTCACTATTCTCTGCAACCAGTGAAACCAGTGAGAGTTATAACTTATTAAAAATATAAGTATATTGCTTTACTGCTTGTCTTAGTTTGTTTGGGCTTCAGTAACAAAATATCAAACTGGGTAGCTTATAAACAACAGAAATTTATTTCTCACGGTTCTGGAGGCTGGGAAGTCCAAGATCACAGTGCAGTAGACTCGGTGTCTGGGGGGGCCTGCTTTTTCACAGATGGCACCTTCTTACCCTGTCCTCCCATGGTAGAAGGGACAAGGCAGCTCTCCGGGGCCTCTTTTATAAGCGCACTAATTTCTTTCATGAGACCTGTGCCCTACGTCCTAATTACCTCCCAGGAGTCCCCACCTTCTCATATCATCACCTTGGGCATTAGGATTTCAGCATATAAATTTTGAGGTTTGGCATTCAGATCATAATACCTTGGAGCCATATTTTTCTGCACATTACCATTTCAAGCAAATTGCCTGTTTTTAAAAATGGCTGAATTGATTACAGGATATATTGGGATAAGTTTCTGACTTCTTTTAGAATTTAGTATTTATTTTGTATTTAAAATCTTGGGTTTTTTCAGGAACATTGAAATATCTCTGAAGAGATACCTTTTCATGATTTTGCCTCAAATGTAAAAATTTAAAAATTTTAGCAAGATCTTCATAAACATTTTTTTGGGTTGTTGTTAAAATAAATTTTATTTATATTTGCTTATAAGAATTATTTTAATATTTTCTGTGATTATTCCAAGGATTTTGTTTTCCAGTAAAATTTTATCACGAAAAGCTAAGATACGCTTAGGAAATTATTTACTTATTAGCTTCTTAGAAATGTTTTGGTAACATATAAAAATGTGTATTATAGTAGAGATTGTTTAAAGGAAATATAGCTGATATTATTATGACCAGAGTCTATTAAATTCCTTGTGCCTTTACCACAGAATGAGGACTACTAAGGAGAAGACATGAATAGACCATCTCCAGAAAGGTGGTTAAAGAACAAAATTGGCAACACTGTTTAGTGAGTGTCAGAATGAGGTTATATCCACCTTAGAAATATTTAGAAACTCTCTCCATGACAGCATTGTGGAGTAGATTAGAATTAAAAACTCATTCATTTTTTAGAAAGATTGTCACTGTAAAGCACTGCCAGTCATCCTTCCTTTCCATGCCAGAATTATCATCTCGCAATCTTTCCGAATCCCTCTCAATTCTTGCTCTCCTTTTCTTCCCTTTCTCCCATCTCACAAGCTATTCTGCATTAAAGAAAGATGGACAGAGACTTTCAACTTTGATGAAGAGAGGTGAAGTCGTAGAAGCAAAACCTGCCAGACCAGTGACCGTGTACAGTATCTCCCTTCAGAAATTCCAGCCACCATTTTTCACATTAGGTAAGATGGAGAAATTTGAAATCATTTGTAGTTACATGTACTTTTAATTTGTATTTGGCTACTTTTGTGTCATTTTAATAGATCTGTAGGGTGTTAGAGATTTTTTAAAAATTAAATTTAAGGAAAGTTAGGATTTCTTTATACCTTTTTTTGGTAACACATTTAATGAGATACCTATAGCTAAGTCAAGGTTCAGAAATGCCTTTCTAACTAGGCTGAGTTTTTCGTGTATTGTATTGTGTTATCTTACTATAAAGTTGAAAGTAGCATACTTTAGATCTCTATAGAGAAGCGTAGGTAAGGAGTATATACTTTTTAAATTTTAGATTTTTATTATCTTTTGGATGCTTTTCCTCCCATTTTGATTAGTACTCGATACATTCAGTTTTAGAATTGGCATTAATTGTCAATTGAAAACAAAGCATTTTTAGTTTTTGAACAAGAAACCCCTCACCCTCTTCTTTACCACCTTTAAGTTACTATTAAAGATCCGAAAAATATGGGTAAGGCATGGTCACATTTTTAGTTCAAGTTATGAATTTTAATTTTGAATACATATTTAAAATAAATGTAAAGACTATAAAGTTCATTTCTGTTGTTTGGAAACTTTATGATCTGGCTACAGAAAGTTGTAAACATATAAGAGCTATGAAGAATCCAAAGCTGTAGTTCTTAATCCCCAGACTCCCTTAAATTGAGCCTACCCTTAATTTCATGGTGCATACTGAATAGAATTCATTTTAGAAATAATGTCCCAAAACGTTTTAACCTAAACTTACCGCTTTTTTCTATTGGCATTATTGTTTTATCTGTGTTATGTTTCTGCAGGATATGATTTTGTACCATTAGGAAAAAAAAAAGTCACTTTGTTTCTTCAGGTTCCTGCTTCTAAAATATTTGACAGATAATGAAAAAAACACTCTTAAAAATGTTGTGCTCCATTCCATGAAAATGAAGCAGCTGGTTTGGCAGAGTAGATATTCTCTATGAAAGCAAGAAAAACTCGGATTTTTCAGATTGTATTGAAGTTGGAACTATTTTTCTGACTATTGACTAGGGAAAGCAGTAACAGGCCAAAAGGTATTTTTTCACCCATGTCAAATATAATGCAAGGAATGCTGGCACACCTGCATTTCCTCCCAGTGCCCACTTTCAATCTCAGCAGTGGCCCCCAACCATGAGCTGACTAAAGAAAGCGGGGGAGGGGAGGGTGATTATTAAAATTCTCAGGTGGTGAGTTTTGATTAATTCCCTCAAATGGCTTTATTTGTACCAGTATGACTAGAAGCAGCTTAGAATCTAGTCCTTTTGTGTGGAAATGTGGCAGCTCTTTTCAGGAAGTCTTGCTGATGAATAAAAATAATGCAGTCCTGTTCTTAACCAATAAGCTTGTGTTAGATTGTGTTAAGATACTTAGATTCACATTCAGTTCTGGGACATTGTGTAATTTTAAGCTGTTTTGTGATTACTTCAGGTGTGTTTCCAAAAGAACATGTCAATATGCTGAGTTCTTCGTGTGTAGTACAGTACCCCAAACATAATTCTTGTTACTGTGAAAAGGGGTTTTTGGTTGGTTGGTTGGTTTTTGGTTGAATGTATAAATCAGAAAATATTTTAAAAATCTGCAGCTCATGATGGCAAAACTACATTTCTAACCATTTACAACCTATTAAATGAACAAGGCATACAAATCTGAAAATATTTTTTTAAATCTACAGCTCATGATAGCAAAGCTGAGATTTCTAACTATTTAAAACCTATTAAATGAACAAGGCTGAAGTATTAAAGTGGTATGACTTGGCAGTTAATTTAAAATGTGTTCGTGAGTTTCTGCTGTTTGCTTTCTCCACACTCTGACTTTTCAATCTCACAAACACATATGCTACTGGATGAATAATTTATGCTTTAGTGCATAAATATTTTATCACTCGATTGTTTGCATAGTGCATTTTTACATTTGTTTATGGGCATCATGTCTATGTAAAGTGGATTTCATAGGAGGTTAGCAGTTTACCATGTCACTGTTAACATTCCAGATGTTGAATGTGGAGGAGGTTTTTATATCAGAAGTTTGGTCAGTGACATTGGAAAAGGTAAGCATAAAAATGAATTACGAATTACCATTTAGAGAGTAATACTCCTTTTCAGTGGGAAGAGGGAATTTTCCATTTTTCTTATTTCTGAGTACTGGCCTTAGGAACTGAACTCTTGCTGCCTTCAGCTTTAAAAGCATTGTTGGTTTCTGGCATGCAGTTATCAGCCTCAGCAGCTGCAGTGAAATGCTTGTAATGGAAAAGAAGAGAAAGAGAGAACAGAAAATGAAGACGGGAAAAATGATGTAGGGACGACGTCTTTGCAAGTACAAAAGATTTTAACTCAAACTAGGGATCAGAAGAAAAAAGGGAAGATTTAACCTTGTAAAAGTTATTTTCAAATTTTTTTAAAACTGGAAGGCATAGTCTTACAAATAGCCAGAAGGTTTTGGTTCTGACTCTGCCATTTACTGGCAGTTGTCACACTGGACAGGTCATATGATCTCATCTGTAAAGTGAGAGTAATCTTTACTCCATGAGGTTGCTTCATGAGTTAAATAACAAAAATGTGCGCAGGTTCTTTGTTGATTTTACAGCAGCTTATAAGGTGAATTATTAAATAGTATTTTGCTACTTAATCATGTCTTTATCTCAAGGCTCTTGGTTCTTATATTGGATTATTTTACTTTTGGGTGGTTTCAAGATATTTGAATCGAGTTCGGTCATATAAACAATTATAGACTATGAAATATTGAATCATTTATCTTCTGGATTTTTTTCCCACCTTTTGTTGCTATAGAACTATCTTCCTGTGCCAATGTGCTAGAGCTGACCCGAACCAAACAGGGGCCATTTACACTAGAAGAGCATGCCCTTCCTGAAGATAAATGGACAATTGATGACATTGCGCAGTCTCTTGAGCATTGCTCATCTCTTTTCCCAGCAGAGTTGGCACTTAAAAAATCAAAACCTGAGAAGTCTAATGAACAGGTTTTGAGCTGTGAACATATAACTCTAAATGAGCCAAAGGGAGAAGATGATGTAATTAAGACGTGTTGAGATTGGCCTGGGAATATCATCATTTTCTAGTTGACATTTGAATCCCTTTGTGCGGATGCAGAATGACAAGCTACATTCAAAAGACAAACAGTATTCTTAACGTTTTTTTTGCATGAAGAAAAATGTCTATCATTTACAGTTTCAATAGCATATAATTTATTTGCTGTGCCTTGTAAATGGCCTCGCAGTTGTTCAGTTGTTTGCTGTGTTGTGGAATGTTCTTTTAGGATTTTTTATGTCGTGAAAATATGAATATGATTGGATTCAAGAAAATTAACTTTCTGAATTTGATCTGTCTTCAGTCTTGTGAAAAAGTTGAACAAATTTCCTAATCAAAGAAATAATTTATGAGTTCCATGTTTCTTTAGTTTGACAAAAATGAACATAATTTAGTGTTATTTTTACTTTATTTAGGTTTCCTGGTGGCTTCATTTTATTGAAATTCTTTACTTTGTTTGAAATGGCCATGATTGACTTTTTTCTTATGTTTTGGAGAGTTTATTATTATTAAAAATATTTCTTTGATAAAAGGTCCCTCATCTAGTAATACCTCTGTTTGTTTAGATCTTGGAAATGAATAAATTTTTATAATATTTGTAAATGAACCAAATTATTGCTGCTACCACTAAGAGGATGTAAATAGAAGACTAATAATTAAAGTCACCTTCCTACCTTTAGAGCAGAAGACAGCTCCTGTAGTTTTGTATTTTGGCAGCTATGAGATATTTTCATGGTAATTTCAACATGGTCAAGCACTTTGTACCAAGTTATTAAATAACAATTTTTAAAATTTAAAGAATGTGTCTTCAACTAAAAACTTTTCTTTATGCTTTAGCATTTATTTATGTCTGTTTATAGAGCATTATCCCTGTGACATTGTTTCTTTAGTTTGCTCTTTCAGGAGATATTTATAGATGCTGTGATAGCTGCCCTGCATTTCCAGCTAATCTCTTCTGCTCTAAATATTTAAAAACAGTTCTTCTCAAACATTTTCATTCAGATAGCTTTCTGAAAGTTCCCTATCCCTCTTTACCATAATTTTTAAATTTAGCCACATTATAAAATAGTAAACTTCATATATAATGAATGCTTTATATTTTTGTTATGGGAAAGCAATAACATAGTTGAATACAGAATGCAGCCAGTCTTTAGAAACATTCAAATCCCTCTTCCTTTACTCAAATACAGTTTCAAAAGGAAGACTCATGAGAAATGTCATAAAATATAAGTTTTTAGATTTTTATGCTTTGCCTTTCTTTTTAAAGGTGTTTTCCTGCTCTGCACTAACTTTTTATTTTGCTTAACCCACTTTGAACTCAGCGTAAAAAATTATATGCGTCATTACAGCATTTTCAACATATTGGCAATGTGTTTTAAATGAAAACATTAAAACTAATTCTTAGTATGAGACAAAATTGTAACGAAAAAGAGTACGAATACCATGATGCATTAACATAAAATACCAAACACATGGAGTTATAAAATGAAAATTTACAGTTTAACTTATTCATATCTAGTGCCCATAGTGTGTGTCAATCAAAGGTGGCAGCAGCTACACCCGCCTGTTGGAATGGCACAGGTTACAATATGTCTTCTTCATTCCAAGTTAAAGTCTAAATAGAAAAATACTTAGGTTTTAGAATACATAGGAGGGATTTCTGCTGTATTTTTCAACTTAAAAATTGACACATAGAGTTTGCTAATAGAGGAGTAGAGATTGTTGACAAGTTTTAAAAAACAATAGCCAACATTTTTCTTTTATATTTAAAACATGGAAGGAGATTTTGCCAAATGGGAAAAATATGATTATTTCTTAATGCAGTAACTTTAGAATTTTAATTTTTATATTGTATTTTCCTTTTTGTTGTTCACATAGTCTTAAGGCACCTATACTTTTTTTTTTTTTTTTTTTTTTTTTTTTTTTTTTGAGACGGAGTTTTACTCTTATTACTCAGGCTGGAGTGCAATGGCGCAATCTCGGCTCACTGCAACCTCCACCTCTTGGGTTCAGGCAATTCTCCTGCCTCAGCCTCCTGAGTAGCTGGGATTACAGGCACTCGCCACCATGCCCAGCTAATTTTTTGTATTTTTTTTAGTAGAGACGGGGTTTCACCATGTTGACCAGGATGGTCTAGATCTCTTGACCTCGTGATCCACCCGCCTTGGCCTCCCAAAGTGCTGGGATTACAGGCTTGAGCCACCGCGCCCGGCAAGGCACCTATACTTTTAAGTTAACTTTTTCATTTGATATTATCTATATGTATTTAGTTGTGATATGGTTATTTTAATTATATTGCTTCATACTTTTATTTAAACCATTTCTCTATTGATGAATACTTAAGTAGTTTTTAATTTTATTAGGATAAATTCCTGGGGGGGAGGATTATTAAGTGAAATAACATGAAGAACTTTATGACTTATGTTTGCCTTATTGCTTTCCCAAAGAGTTGTAACATTTTACAGTGTTACCATTTGAGTTAGGGGTTTTATATGTGGTTGCTAATTTAGTCAGTATAGGAGAAAAATCAAAGTTTCTCTGATTTGCTTTTGTATGATTTGTCTGTATACTTTGTTCATTTATATAAATAAATGTCTTAATGGTTTCTATACATATTTGCATGAGTTATTTATGTCGTAATATGACATAAAATAACTTGATAGAAGAATTTCTCATGGTTTGTTGTCCTTTTAGTTTTAATTTTAATTTTTGCTAAGTTTGCTCATTCTAATAATTCTTCCCCCTTTTATTATTGTCACATTAATAAGTATGAAAAGTTTAAAATTTATTGGAACTTTAAAATCTTATTAACTCTCATAAGCAGCTGAAACTGATTGAGATAGTCTGAAAAGTTCAAGACTTCTTCATAAAACAAATTAGCTTTCTTCCGATAGTCTGGTATTTAAATACCAACTCAGGGTTGTTTTTTTTTCATTTTAATCAAAATATTAAAACATTTCTGTGTCTTATATATTTCTGGGTCTAAACCTTCATGACATAACAACGGTGTTTTACTTGTAAGAAAAAGATAAAAGACTTTAAAAATCCTAAAAATGTTTCAACCTGAAATATACCAGATCACTTCATTTTGACACTTTAAAGTTTTTTATATTTCTGAAAACTATTGCCTTAAAAGTTATTAAAAGTCATACAATTTATTTATAGTCCTAAAATTCAGGACTTTTACATAACAGAAATTTACTCTCTGCAAATTCAGAGTTTTGAAATGTGAATAAGGGCTAAACACTTTCTTCTACCTTTACTGACTAGGTCTTTTTTTCTTAAATAGTTGAACTAAAACAAGCCACTGACTAATGATCAGAAGTGATTTACTGTATTAAATATGAGTGCTTTGTATCATTTCATCAGTACATTTTATGCCCCCTGACCAGATTGAAATTTTTATCAGATTTACAGTGAACATTTTGAGGTTCAACTAGATGGTGAATTGTTCTGTTTCAAAGAAAGTAAGTAATTTACCTTATATCATGATGTATATAATAGAAAAAGATGTGATTCAAAAGCACTCTAAAGTGCTGAAACATTTAGATGGAGGAAAAGAGAATAGATAGGAAGTTTATGCACTGAAATGAGTATAATGGCCTTGTAGTTAAATAGAGGGATTGTCTTGAAACAATTTCTTTCTCTAAGGTGTGTATGGGCAAAGCTCTCGTTTCTCCTAATTATTCATTAAATACTATTTATTAAGCACATTTGTTACAGCAGTTGACTCAGCAGTGCCTTCATTTGTTAATGTGTGAGTTAAATTCTCTTTATGAACAGGAATATCTTCAGATTGCTGCTATAAACAACGATATAGTCTGAAGGCTGAAGTTCAAAAATTATTTTGTTCTTCTTATCCATAACCCTTAAAATGCTATTAACTTTATTTGTGTCTTTACCGTTAGTCAACTTTTTGATCCTAGGTGAATCACTTAATCTATTGGGGTCTCAGTTTCTTCATTGTTACAACAAAGGAGACAGACTAGTCCATCTTGAAGAATCTCTCCAACACTAAAGTATTAGGCTTCCAAGTGTAGATAACTTGTAATTATTTTGTTCAGGAACTCATTCCTCATGAACCCGAATTTTTTCATTTATCAATTCCCATCTTTGGATATTACATCTCTTCTAGAGTCTTTGCGTTTTATTTTGTATCTAATTACTCTTTCATATTTTCCATCTCATTATCCCACTGTGCTGCATACTGGGGAATTTCCTCCAGTCTTTTTTCCTGATAATGAATGCCTTTTGCTATTTTTATTTAGTCTTTTAACAATCATATATTTATTCCAATCACTCTGTGTATTTATTTATTTAGAGACAGAGTCTTACTCTGTTGTCCAGACTGGAGTGCAGTGGCGTAATCTCAGCTCACTGCAAACTCTGCCTCCCGGGTTCATGCCATTCTCCTGCCTCAGCCTCCTGTATAGCTGAGATTACAGACATGCACCACCATGCATGGCTAATTTATTTTTTATTTTTAGTAGAGACGAGGTTTCACCATGTTGGCCAAGCTGGTCTCCAACTCCTGATCTCAGGTGATCCTCTCACCTCGCCCTCCCAAAGTGCTCGGATTACAGACGTAAGCCACCATGCTAGGCCTTTTGTTTTTATTTCAACATCAAGTTTTTTCCTCTAAAATCCACCTCTTCTTTTTTCATGTGTTAATTTTCTTCTTTCCTTAGGGTTTCAGTAAAATGTATATATTTTTTACTTTGATATTTTATATGCATACAGAAAATCGCACGTAACTGTATAGCTCAGTGAATTTTCACGAACCAAACATGTCTATAACCAGCAACCAAGTCAAGAAGCAGAACATTACTAAGCCCTGCAGAAGCCCCTACTGCTCCATGAAGATTATAGATTAGTGTTTCATGTAACATTATATATTAGTAATTTTGTCTGTTTTGTGCTTCATAGCTGCTTATAAATAGAAGTCTGTGATGTGTATTCTTTTATGTCTGGCTTCTTTTGCACAAAGTTACAATCTTGAGGTTCTTCCATATTGTGGCTGTCTTAGCTTGGGCTGCTACGACAAAATGTCATAGACCGAGTGACTTAATAGATATTTATTTCTCACAGTTCTGGAGGCTGGAAGTCTGAGATCAGGGCTCAGTGTGGTTGGGTTCTTGTGAGGACTGTCTTACTGGCCTGAAGAGGGCTACCTTCTCATTGTGTTCTCATATGGCCAAGAGAGGGACTGTGTCTCTTCCTCTTATAGGGATGCTGACCCCATCATAGCAGCTCCAACCTCATGACCTTGTCTAAATTTAATTACCTCCCAAAGGCCCCACTTCCTGTTCATCGTCATTGTTTAGTAGTCATTTATTGCC